CTACATATCAAGCCTGTCTCACCTTATTTGGTTTGATCACCCAAATGCAATATGCCGGAGAGTGCAAATTATAAAGATGGAGACAGTGAGCACCTTTGAAATGTTGATCAATTTTTTGCCGGAATACACGGCTCAACATCCCGGAACACAGCCATCCTTGCCTACTTCTTGTCTGCAGGTCCGCTAATCAGAATTGGCTGACAATAGGTTAAGAATCGTAGCCCTTGCGGCAAAAGCTTTGTAGCGTGCAGCGTAATAGTAATTCTAAGCAAATGTCCGTTTGCGGACCTACGCTTAACAGCATCTGTATCAACAACCACCCACTTCCAATAAACATGATAGCACAAAAGACGTTCCTCTATTCACATTATTTTGCGTCACAGTGGAGTGAACACGTGTGTTTGGAGAGAGACGAATAGGAAACTTGATATATTATTGAGCAAGAATCTGAAAGGGAACATGTTATTATTAAAATATTTTTTTATAAAAACAAGTGAACTATTACCTTGCAGAAGGAACATTGCCAGAGTTGGAAACGGAATTCGTACTGGCGGTAACACTGGAAATAATACCCACAACACAAATAGAACACCCTATTCTTTATTCTGGATGCTACATAGACCCTTGAACTTCACACAATGCCATATTAATACAGCAGGCACTCACTGAAATCAGAAGGCGAGGCTTCGGTGTGAATGCCGTTCCATCAATAACCGGCAAACAATACGTTTCGTTTATAGAACTCCTATTCTCCCTTTTATTCAATCACAGCTGAGGTACATATTTGTGCCCGCAATAATTCTATGAACAGACCTCTAATTATGAAGCTATGCACAAACAAAGTAGATGAAATTCTTGTGGGCACAATTAAACTTCCACTCATCAGGGCAATATGGCCTCTTCAGCACAATGAATTCTACTGACTCCAGTGGAGCAACTGGAGTACACACATCTCCAAACTGCTTCTTTGATAGTTACTAGGAACTTCTTCTGTGCTAATGTTATAATTATCCTGTCTCTTATTTCAGCATCCTGTTCATTACGCATTCAGTGTTCTTCTTTAAAGTTTAAGGTACTGATTTTCCCACCACGTAATGACACAGGTAACATCATAATTTGTGTATTTAAGTCTTCAGGTTTCAGAGAGGAGATGAAAAGATAATCAAATACTGAATTCGTTAGCAGGAGGCATGATTTAATATCCTCTGAAATTTTTCGTGAACGTAATACGACAGTCAAAAACACACTGCTTCTTCAGAAAGTGTTTTATGTTATTCTGCGCTTAAAGATTAGCTGAAGATAGCATGTAGGTACATCTCACAAACAACATTTTTGTTGTAATGATGCGATCATTTAAACCAAATGCACGTTTCCTGTTCATTACGAATTAATATACTGACTGTAGTGACGTGACATTGCCTATCGTTTTACTCTCTCGGTGATGTTCTCAGGGTGAGCACAAGACTAGTGAGTTTGTACTGGCTAATATTTTTAATTCACTCGCACGAGTTTCCCTTTTCTTCTCATACCCATGAAGTTTCTTTACGAATGTGGAGGCATTTGGTTATTTATGCAGTAAGCTTATTAATTTAATGGCCGTGCTATGAATTTTAACTTAACAAAATGGAGGAGTTCTCTCTTCTGCTCTTACCTAAGCATTCTAGTCACCATTTCATAAAAATGTAGATGATGAGTTTTTCACTGTCTTTTTAATGTAAAAACATAGTAAGTTCATTTAGCAAATGCATAATTTTTAGTTCTATTAAGCAGAGTTCAAGAATCTCTATCTCAGTGATTAGTAATTACATTAACACACCCAAATATTTTGATGGAAAGCATCTCTTTCGAGTTATCAACAGATAACACATTTAAAGCGAATTTGTCGACAGATTTTGTTTCAGTCACACATTACTCAGTCTATTGAAGTTACTTATTATTCACTCATTTAACGACGCTTTCAATTTGTCAGGTCCAAAATGATAGCATGATTAGAGAACAATGAACTAGAAATATACTGAAGAAAGCGACCCTTATAAAAATTAATCTCCCATCTAGACATTTTCCTGGAGGGACTGAGAAAACCTACTATGAAAAACCTTAATCACAATAGCCTATATCCCAGCCGAGGTAAATCCGGTACCTCCCGAATGCGAAGTAACAGAGTTAACTGCTCGATCGCGACTCCAAAAGAATAAAAGTTGGGTTCCGTTTGACTTATGTTAATGGTTTATGTTTTCGACCCTTGTAAATAACGTAGAATTTGTAAGGGATTCCAAAGAATGTTTTCTGTATAATTCGTCTAACGATGATCCACAAATATCTAATTCTCAAGCACGCGCATTCCATCTTTCCTTCACGCTATTTCACTCTAGGCTTGAGGGGAAACACATCTTATCAAAACACACAAGAGAAGATGACAAGGAAGTAAGATATTCCGAACTATCAATTTATCTACGTGCTTGGAGGGCCTGAGAACGTCACAGCCGTTGCTGAAGTTGGGAAGAGATATCCTGAATGCCAACTGAATACATTATCACTTGAGAAACTGTGATACAGTTGTACACTAGGTATGTTTATTATTTTTGTGTGGCATCTAGGCGTCTGTGAGAGGTTTATGGAGACAATGAACGTGTATTGCGGGACGAGTGATATTCTGAAAGAGCTGAAAGATATCGCCAGTGGCAAGTTTTAACGATCTGAGACATGGAATTCGTCATATTTGTATTTACATACGAGCAGACAGCTACGATTCCATAGTGACTCCGCACCGTAGTGCAGTTAATCGGAAAGCACTATGGGTTGGGTTGAACTAGGTTAGGTTACGTTAGGTTGGTTCATTATTCGGCTATATATGACGCTGTGTGAACTGCTGAGGATATGTAGCCTCAACTTATTAATACTGCAGAATACTTGTGAAAGGCATATCATTAGGGCCAAGAATGGAAACTGCTGTCGTCTCTTTAATAATATCTTAGTCCTATATTGTAGCGTAAGATTTTCCTTATTCCGTATTCTGTAAAAGAAGAATAATTTCTTGGCTGTCTGCGCGACCAGAACCTTCCTAAGTACTTCGCTCCTTGGAGTTTATTAGATAATTCCTTAGTAAGCAGGTATGTAGGTTGGCAGTGCTGATAGATTAATAACAGTACATTTGTACTGAGTATTGGCTTTAATTTGTTTTACATCCGATTCAAGAAAATAGGCCTAGGAAGTTAAATATGTAGCTAGCAAGTGATTCGGATGACTTCAATTAATTTGAAAATATACTAACTTAATGTCATTCAGTGAGTAATAATGCTACTATTACCATTACTACTATTACAAATTATTATCATCATCCAAGGTTAATGGGGAACGCTGAAGTAAAAGATCTGAACCTATTTCAGAGACCCGTCATACACATGATTTATATAATTGATGTTAAACATTTAATTATATGAAGAACAAATAAATTCTGAGTAGCTGAAGTGGTTCGTGGTTTGAATAGCCCCTTCAGGCTATGGAGGATTATTGCCAATAAGTCTTCTTTCTTCAACCTTAATAATTCATCGTTTCATAATCTCCATACTACTGGATGCTAAGTGACCGTTTCGTCTGTAAGGTCGCTAAATAAAACAAAAAATCACATACAAAAAATATAGGCCGATTACCAATGGAACAAGAAAGAATTCGCATATAATCGGCGATATTGTCAAATTTTAATGTCATTCAGACGGACAGACCTGACTTGATCTGATTGAATTTTTATATGATGCTACATTAACTGCTAACAACTTGGAACGCTGATGGGCGTAAGAATTGAAAGTGACTGAAAAAATAGATAATCTTAGAAATCCTTTTGCTGTTAGCACAGAATCGATCATGGATGTACAAAGCGGCCAGAATTAGCCATGCCTGTACCCTACCTACCCCCTGTCCATAGCAGATCTCTGTGAAGACCGACGTCTTCTTTAACGAGCTAATCAATCTTACAGTGTGAGAGTCAGGCGTTTTTGTATACTTTGCATCGATTTCAGAATGCCCAAGAACGACGCTTCCGAAAAAAGTAGCAGGAAGCTGAGATACTACCCCAGCATCTGCTGGTTTGCGGGTCGAGCTTCGAGATGAGGCAAGAATCGAGTGGGTCCGTCGATAGTAGGAGAAGCTATGGCGGTCGCCATGCGTGGTGCACAGGTCTCGCGCGGAATTGAATTTGCCTAGAGGGGGCATAGCTCTCGCCCTCCCGCCAGACGGTGAACTGAGTTGCTCCGTCAGTCGCCTCGTGTTCACGACTACGAACGGCTGTGCCCCGCAGTGTCGCTCCGCGAACTCCTTTCGCCGAGACGGAAGCGCGCATTTTTATTAACTCTTCCTTTTAAGGCTATTTTGCCATGTTCTTCAGTAACACAACTCAATGTAAGGACTACATTGACCGTCTGAGTTCACTGTTTCACAGAACTTGGGGTAAAGTGTTGGGCTGTGTGAGAACACCTCAGACACAATTCCGTAAAACGGTAATTCGGTTTTCACTTGTTTGCAGTTCTAAAAACTGATTTTTCTGACCTGTGCTCATGAAAACTCCTTCACAGCTGACACATGTAGAGTCAATACCCATTTCCGTAATGGGCCATTTTTGGTAGCGATTTAACTTTAAAGCGTAGAATTTATGTGATAAGAGTAATGAATTCTTCCTGACTTGCATCATTGCAAATAGATGCACCTTTTAAGATTTTTTTTTCAAAATATAGAATGCAAGCATAATTATACTTAATTTTGTGACAGTTACTATAAACTTTAACATTAACTGTCATCGCTATTGATTCTGTTAGTTGAAGTAACACAGACTGTGAACTTATGAATACCTTGCCACTTAACTGTGTTGATACTGTGAATATTTTAACACACTTACCACGTTCACGAATAAGTTATAAGAAACTGGATGATAAAAGAAATTTTGCGGCGAGAAATAAATTTATTTCCTCTGTAAATTAAATCAATGTAAATTTTTCGTACACATCCATGAAAACTTTAGAGTGTACTGGAAAATACCTTCAGTTACTGTCAGTTTCATGAAACGTTTTAGAAGTTAGTTCAGTTTGTATTTATTTAAGTTGTCCAGTTAAACGAACCACTATCTAAATTAAATCGTATACAGAACTGAATTTGCAACATTTAATGATTAATGTAGCGACCTTAGATGAAGAGTTTTTGAGCCATTCAACTTAAAATGAAGCAACGCTGCCTGTAACTGTGTCAAAATTAAGTGAATGTCTCTCGCACATAAAAACAGACATTAAAACAACTACCACAGAGTTGTGGCGCGTTAGATTATTTTGCTAATAGAAGATTAAATTAATAAACCAGGGTTACGAAAAGGACTCCTTACAATAACGTTATCTGTACATAATTTGAACTAAAATAAGGTTTGTACTCAAGACCTTCATTCATAAAAGACGACCATAAATAACAACGAAGACGGAAGTGTCCAGTACATTGAAAAATATCTGTGATTGTATCCGCTTTCGACATGACTGTGAAAAACAGAATCAGTCCTGTTTCGTATACAAAACACATGCTTGTACGAAGCTTTTAAAAATCACAACACCGAATATTAATACTGTACTCTGAGATACACTCTGATATCAACATGACTTCATGTAAGAACTCGTTTCTCACGTGCATTGCAAGCATATGTTATCTTATAGTTATCAGTCCAGTGTTACTAGTATTATGTGATAAAAACGAATTAAACAGTGACTATAGCGGCAAAGAACATGATCAAGTTCATGGTCTAGAAGCCAATGTGCAAGCACAGTTTAGCAACAATCATTTCAACAATGAAGTAACACAATCAATCACTCCGAGCAATAATGGTGAAGAATATTCTGAAGTGGAAAAACAAGGTGATGAATTCATCGACAAAAACGTAACGTATTTGCCAATAAAACAAAACAAGACCGACGGAAACAACGAAACTGACGCGGATTACGATTATGATTACGTTGAGTCGCATAATATTTTTAATTGGTCGGAACTGATACCAACGCTGGTTGTATATGGTGCAACTATGGTCATCGGGATAGCAGGCAACTCCCTCATAATCTTCACGATCTGTCGTTATCGGCGTATGAAGAGTACAACGAACGTGTTCTTGGCCAGTCTGGCATCTGCGGACCTTCTGCTCATCACCATCTGCATACCAGTAAAGGTAGGATCAAGGACTTGTTTGCTTTATTAATTACATGATACTCCACAAACGTGCTGAGAATCTCGCGGTCTGAACTGTCACTTGCCGCGAATCTATCACGTCACAGCGATTACGTATTTAACTAACGTTTATTTTTATTTGTTTTGTGTGCGTGTTCATCTCTCCATCATTCCATTTATTTAATTAAATATCAAACACTGAATTCTATTCGATGTATTCTGTAAGGCTTGTTTGCTTAATATAATTTAACCTATGCGTTAATTAATTCTTAACAACTACAGAAAGTTCCAAAATTCTTGACATATAGTTGTTCTTAGTTTGCACGGCACTGTGTCTTAGTTCAACACCTTGTCCGCTTGCCCCCAAGGTATCAGGTACTGTAATTCCGTCTATTCGAATGTACTTGAGAAACAATAAATTTTACTAAAATTATAAATTATTCAGTCACATTTAAACTATATTTTGCTACAACTGCAACAAAGAGGAATGGAAACGGGAAGCGATGGCGAAAGCTCTTAGAAAACATAACCTGGAAGAAGATAAGATGGAAGTGAAAAGGTATTAAAATGGGGCTACGGTTACTGAATCTGCAAGGTTTCTTTTTGTATTCCGCACGTCTCAAAATAGTGTGTTCCGTATTTCCAAACAGCAAATCAGTCAAATCAAAACACACTGGTTAATCAAGAATCCTCGCTATATTATGGATGGACAAATTTGATTTTATATTGAATTTGTCGTCATGGTCCTTAGCTATGTCAACAGATATGTCATCGTTGTGAGGAGCCACGCACGTTCTCATAATATTAATTTTAATGATGATGATACAAGTATATAAACTCTCGAAAGCTCAGTTGTAACAATATGTAGCACCTGCTTTAAGAATCAGTAACGCTGTAATTTGTTTTTATGGGTTTCGTATGATTCTCAGAGTAGGGCTGAAATCGATTATTTTCTTAAATAGCATTAATCAGGTAATCATTTTAGTGGAAAATTACTGTTTTTCTTTGCTTTAAGACCTAAATTTTCGAATCGCTTCGACTTAAAAAGTTACTATTAATTTTGCTTTTTGCCTTTAATCTGTTACTCCATTATTTTATGTGCTATCACGTATTCTCCGTAAAATAAACACTCCTTAAAACGGCGTACCATGAAGGATACAATCTTTCTGAAATATATCGAAAATACTTTTTACTGGAAACATATAAGGAACATATTTATAAATACTCTTCTGTCTATATAATAAGGTATGTTCGTTGCTTGGTTGGGTTGTGATAGTTCGTTGCTTTTTAAGAGATTTTGGGTCTCATGTGATAATATTTGCGAATGTGTGTCTTGTTTTAAAATGTCATTGTACGACGATCATTTGCTGACCAGGATTTTCGGTTTTACGGGATGATGTTACAACCGTTGCCGTGATAATGGTGTTAAGGGAGGTCTACTATAACTACAACACAGGACAGTTATTATAACCTCGATATAAGATCACATTTTAGATTTTGGTGTATGAAATCGTATTATATTCCTTAATTAAGCTAAGACATTATACACTACATTATTAATTTTAGTTTTATATGCTGCTCTATGCACTGAAACAAATGACTACACTCATCCCTCTGTTCCTATATACATGTAATTCTGGCCTTGATAGTAAAAAGTGATATTTTAACGGCGCAACAACCCAGAAAATAGACATCTTGACATAGGGGAATTCCTAACATCCCAGTCGAGAATAGAATCCCGACCGTCCAGAACGCAGTCCATGACTTTACTGTACTGCAGTCGCTCATAGTGACAATAATCTAGAACATGCTAGATTTTCAGATAGTAAAGCGACTATATGACCATGGATAACTTACCATCAGGGACAGTGATTTTCCTGTCCGCCTCCACGTTTAGACTGGTTCTGGAACCAGTTCTTATCGTACGATTAAACTATAACTCTGAAGTTCACAGCTGACAGCTCATGCTCGATATTATGGTTTTCTGAATCGGAATAATTGCTTGAGCCACTGTGTCACCTTGTTATTGTTGTGAAGGGTTGAGACTATATTTCTGCAGAACTACGACCGCTGACGAGCCAACTGTCTATCATCCAGAAGACACGTGAGTAAAAATTGAGCATCGGTGGACTGATACTTAAAGGGAAAAAGACCAAGGGACTCGGAGAAATTCCCGTCCTAGTTCCACTTTGTCCACCACAAGCCCCACACAGACTGACCTGAGAGCGCACCGGGACTCGAAAAGCCGGCGACTAACCACCTGAGCTACTGCACGGCCCACTGCGTCCCTTATTATACTAGTGCCTTTATTTAAAAGTGTAAGATATTTCTCAATTCCTTATGTTAAACATTTCCACAACGTTAAAACTAATTGGAGATTTTACTGAGCCTTAACCGTATACAAAAATAAATAAATTCATACAAACGTGGAACGGCCTACTTTTCAATTCGCGTGCAGTAACATGTTCGTGACTAGATTTATGTCAGTTACGCTGAAAAATGGTCACTATTGAAACGTGTCTCGAATGACTTTTACACATAACCGGCCCAATAAATTTAATAGTGGTTGGAAAACCAGATGAAGCAATAACATTGGACTAAACCTACAAAACCGGCCGTTTACCCAGTTCCATCATCGATTATACCAACATCACGGCCAAAAATATCTTATGTTGACAAGACATGTCTTAAGATAAAGAAATATGTTGTAAATAGTTTGAAAATTTACTGTAAATCAGTTTTACTAAAAAAAATAATACAGTCACCTATTACAAGACAATATTTTTCGAGAATGATCTTCACGCTTCGCTGCATTCTTATCCTTCGGAAGATCCACGTTTCGAAACTGGGCCCGGAGACCAAAACTCGGAGTTCTTTTGTTACTTTCCCCACCTTTCAATTAGACACGGCTGTTTCCTTCCGCAACCCATCACTTCTCATCCAGCGTCACATTGCACTGTTAATTTTTTTTTTTTTCCCAAATGCCTCCTTGGCATTTCCTATTTATCGTTGGTCTTGAAGTTTATTTACTGCGGATACAAGCCTGTTATTTCAGATACTAACCTACTTGTCAACCCAGAAGAAAACTTTGAAATCAGTTGAATCAATTTGCCTATCAAATAGTGTGCTTTTCATAAAAACCTGGATCGACTGGACAAAATTAGTGACAAAACTAAATTAAGATTTTACAGAATATTTAACTGATATTAACACAAATTAAATTTGCCACAAATTTTTCAGCGCAGACGGCACATTACTAATTTTCGTCGCATTCCGGTAAGACATTCGGCTACGAAAAAATTCCTGAAAATCTATTACTAAATCTTACAATTGATGGCATCCCTAAATCGAAGAAACTCAATAGTACGATAATTTGAGGTGTACAGAGTATATTTGCTCAGATAGAAACAAACAGCAGTATTCTATAACAGAGATGACTGCACTGGGAAATGGCTATCTTCACTTAGGTACGCTTTAAGCTGTCCGTCAAAAGTGTTAAGAACTTCATCATTGATATAGTCGGAATCATTACTCCTACGATATAAAACTGCTATATATATATATATATATATATATATATATATATTAAATGTGGAGGGTAATTATAGAGGGTCTATCACCAGATACTTCCTTACTTAGTGAGGCAGTGCTCGTAACTACTTCTGTAATAATAATAATAAAAATTATTGTATCCGTCAGATATAGCCGTTTATTAAAACAAATTATAATCTTAACTTCTTCGTCTACATAATTTAATTTTGAATTGTAAGCGTTTTCTAAATACGTAATGACTTCCTCTGGAATTATACAGGCCTACAGAGAATGTGATTTATTTTCTAAAGTTTTAAATTTCTGGTTGATTTGAACACGACGTTCGCTGGTGTGCATATGCGCACGTTGCAATATCGTGTAAAATATGAACCCCTTTTGTTGTGTAGTTTGAGATAAGCTTCTAAAGCCTGTTAAAAGCCTTGTTTATCTGTAAGTTTTATCTGAAAAGCTCTCGCCTAAGTACAGCACTATGACACGTCTAATATGGCCGCTCCATGACAGGTGTACCAAAGAAAAGTTAAGACTGGAGAGGCCTGCTGTTTGGAGTACACCAACATTCTGAAGGAGTTCTTCACGCACAATCACGTAGGTCGTTCTTGCACTAATGTTATCCCGGTTTATTTTTGCACAATGACATATAAGGTCATGGCCATTCCTGGAATAAAATGAGCCCAAATTATTATCACACAACGTCTTCAAACAATTCACATCATCTTGTTAAAAATGTAATTTGAGTACCCACTGTTGGGTAACAAACGGTTCCAACAATGACAGTTGGATTCCATTGTTACCCAACAATGAAGTTTAATCATGCGGACAGGCAGATATGAACAGTCCGTAAGGGGTTCTTCGCTCACACAACGGCGTGATGAAGACCTAACAACGGTTTGCGAACTCATCATGTGGTTACAGCAAGAATAAATTTTACGACTGGGCTGAAGGCTGAAAGAGACTTGAACGAATGTTCAACAAGTATGAAGGTTTCTGACTAAGGTGCGTTACATAGCCTAAATATTACAAAATTACAGCGTTTCGGAAGCTGGATTCTGCTTTCGTCATCTGCTAAAAATGAAAGGCATGAAACATCTGTTGGACCCCTTGGTCGACCTAGACTTCGGGTTAACCAACAGATATTTCTCTCTGTCCCTCCTTTTTACCTGATGGCAGAAGAGAAGACCAGCTTCGAGAACATTCAGACGACGGACGAAATCGAGAAAACAAGGATGTAAGAGAACGCTGATGCTTGTGCGTTCTGGACTGTCACTGACTGTCGCTGTGCTGATGTCAAGAACTAGATCGATCAGTGTACATGGGACAACCGAAGACGAATCAGCTCAATTGGGACTTCATCTGATATCAGCATCAGCCGTGGAACGTAGCTATGCAAGAATGGTTTATGGTTCAACGGAATGCGTTCTGTTCCGATGAAATCAGAACAGAAAAATTGAG